TGGGTCTACATTATTAGGGACCATTTAAATGTTTAAGAGTCTTAGGGCAACTCCAAAATATTTCTTGTTTGAAAAATTTTTAAGTTCACTGTTATTTAAATATTTGGAACACATTTAGAGCTCAGACAAGGCAATTTTAAAAAACTGTTGTTTTTTGATGCACCCTAGAATGTACATATGCGTAGCAAGAACATAGAACAAACTAATATAAATATTTGTTTCATATTTGCTTCAGAGATATCATCTGACTATTGCTTATGCCTTAGATATAGTGTTACCGAAAACTAAAGGCTCTGTTAGAGTCATTGGATTATTTGCTGAAGAAGACGCAGAAGTATATGAACAATATAGTAGTAGTATTCAAAGTTCTCCTTCTTCTATGTCAGACTCAGAATCAAAGAAAGGAAAACCTTATTATTGGTGAGCTTTTTTTAATGCAAATTTATTAAGTGTTTCAAGATTATATTTCAAACTTTTTTAACTCAAGCTTTAAGTAGAATTAAAGTTTCAGTTTATTTTTTTTTTGTGAAATAATTGTAATGCTTACAGAAAAATTAAAAATTTATATATTTTTGAAACTGCCTAATTCAGCCTCTAGCAGGTGGCAATTGTGCATTTGTTGTATGTCTAAAATATTTTTTTCCATACCTCTTTGCTTGTAAAATGAAAATTTTCATGGGTGATTTGAATTTTTTTTTTTTTATCTTAAAAATTTCATTTCTGTTTTTGTTGCAAGCTTTTTCTTGTACATATTATTTTATAGCACTATTTGTTGTTTATGAAATTAAAAAGTTTTGACAATGGTTTTGGGTGATATAACATTTTTTCTTTGAATGCAAATCAAATTTAACAGTTGAAATAACAAAAATATTTCCATATTAAGGCATTTTACTTGTTTATAGCATCATTCGTGGTACTAAAAAATAACAAGTTAAAAAACTTGCTTTTCATTTTCAAACTACTATAAAGATAAATATATTTAAATTTACTTCTTTATTCACTATTTATTTAATTTATTAATTTATTTTGCTTTATCAATTAGTGTTTCATAGGTTTCTTCTTTCTAAATTTCAATAACTTTTAGTTAAAATGTTATCTATTTTAATTATAATTATAATTATTTTTTAATAATTGTTTTTGACTATTCGTTATTTAGATTAAAAATTGACACTTTCCCCTATATTGACAAACTTAAATAATAAATCTTCGTTACCCTAGTAGCAAACAATATCAGCGCAATATTGGGGCAATATTGTTGATAATATTGGCGCAATATTGTAAACTATATTTTACCAATGTTGCAATGTGAACATTTTGCCAATATTGGCGCTACAATATTGCGCCAATATTGTAAAGTCAGTATCGGCCAATAATGGCGATACGATATTGCACCAATACTGTAAAGTCAATATTAGCCAGTATTGGCAAAATGTTCACATTGCAGCATTAGCCCGATATTGTTAATAATATTGCGCCAATATTGTAAAGTCAATATTGGCCAATAATGGCGATACGATATTGCACCAATACTGTAAAGTCAATATTAGCCAATATTGGCAAAATGTTCACATTGCAGCATTGGCTCGATATTGTTAATAATATTGCGCCAATATTGTAAATAATATTGCGCCAATAATGGGGATATTATACTGGCCAATATTGGCCTAATATAGTTTACAATATTATCCTGATATATAATATATATAACTAAATTTAGGCAATATATTGAGTATTTTCGATTAAATTTTTATTATTATAAAATAATAAAAAATATTGCCTTCTACAAAATTGTAATAGTTAAAATTTATAACAGTTTTCTTGTTTAAGTAATACTGTAGTACTAGGCTGCATTATTCTTTTGAGTTAAACAGGTTATAGTCTAGGAGATGAAAATAATCATAAAACACGCTTTGAGAAAAAAAAATTCGAAATCAAAAAATTTATTTAAAGTTATATGAAACAGATACAAATGAAAAAAAGAGGTATAGAGTTTTCCAAAACCAAAATATAACAAAATAAAATCAATGTTGTTTAAATACAGGTACAGTATATATATATATATATATATATATATATATATATATATATATATATATATATATATATATATATATATATATATATATATATATATATATATATATATATATATATATATATATATATATATATATATATATAAACTACTGTATTATATTCTCATTATGAGAAGTGGGCATCGACTTTCATCATTTTGGCGATACTTATTTCATTGCTCAATATTGGGCGTTGCTCAGTTACAGTTCTATTTTTCTTCAGTAATCTCTATTAATGGCCGTTGCCAGAATGCTGCCAATTTTATCTTTAATACTTTTGTCAGTAGCGAATTCGAAATGAACGAATACAACAATAAATGACTAAACTCAATTCTAAAAAATGTTTTTTCAATATCATCACAATATAATTTTGAAATATATAATTTTTCATGTATAAATATTGTAAAATAATTAGCTTTTATTAAATTATTTATTTATTAAAAGGAAATGGTATGTAGAATACAAATATTGTGCTTTACCTATAACAACCTTGCAGAACGTTTTTGTTTCCTTCCATACACTGAGTATGAAAAACATACTTCTTTGGCCATTAGCTGTATTAAGATTGCCGCTGTAAGTTGTTTCTCATCTCCTCCAACCGAAGTAAGAAAGTTCATCTAAAATAAGAAAACAAATGTATTATAATTGGTTGTACTAAAAGTATAATGGTTCCTCATGTGTATGCATTAGACGGTTTTCCATAATGTGATTCTTATTAAAATATGACATTATGGAAGAGTAAAAGCAATTGGTTATAAATAGATTATGACATCTGTAGCAGTGAATACACCCTACAGATGTCATAGATATCTGAGATTAGTAGTCATTGCTACACAAAATACATTGCTAACTGGGCATAAAAGATAAAAATCACAATAAAATGTAATAAGCATTTATATAAAACATTCTGATATACAACATAATTATAGTCAATCACGTATCATATTGTATCATTTGTTTGTATGTTCCATATAAATGTATCATATATTTTAAAAATTAGAAACTTTAATAGTACATGGTACTGTTTCCAAAAACTATTAACTAATATCAATTCACTGATATATACTATTGGTTTATAAGATGTCTTTGTTCTATAATTTTTCTTCTAGGTCTTTTTATATAGGGTCTTTTTTCCTCTATAACCGGCAAATAAATTCAATAAATCAAAAGAGATAGTCAAGCAAAGCTCTGATGCAATCACTTAACCCTAAAACACTAAAGATTTCTTCAATCTTTGAGAAACTGAGAGACAATCTTATCAGTGCCACTTTTTTTGTAACCTGCATTCTCTTAAGCTGAAGGCACAGACAATTCCGTTCTAAAGCAGTCTCATAACTGTCAAAAAAAAGTATAAAGAAGAGATGAAACCATACTAAACAATCAACATTTACTATATTTGAGTCAAACATAGCTGTTTAGATAAAAAAACAATACTGTAATAAAAACAAAAACAATATTGTATATAATAACAATATTGTATATAATAACAATAAGACAATTACCAAAAAATACTTATTTTCAGCTGCTTTCAGTTACTTTTTAAAACGTGACTTTACGTATGGCAGCCTAAAGGCAAGTTGCTTGCAAGTGATTTGGCCGATACACCAAACTTTCATTGATCCGCCATGAAAAACAGATTACATTCATGGCACACATATTGTTTTTTCATTGAAAAATTCAGCCAGAGCAAATTTTGTAAACTTTATTACCACCTTCAGTTTAGCGGTACATCAGCTAAAAAATAATCACAAATAAATTTATGATATAAAAAAACTTCAGATTAACTTTTTCTTTGAGATTATTGTTTTTTTTAACTGAAAATATTAGTCTGAAAATTATCGAGTTTCATTTCTTAATGTTTAATGTAATTGCTTTTTATTTCAAGTAGAGTTTAATTATTGGTTAGTAAAAAAAAGTGAATTTTAAAGTTTGCGCGGTTTGGAAAGGTTTCTATGATAATATTTGCTTATTTAAATATGACATTAAGGAAGATAAACAACTTGAGGCTCTAAGTAAATATTTACCCCAAGATTAGGAGATTCAAATTAGCATGAGATTAAGATCTCATGCTCAATTGAATGAGTTAGCCAGGCATAGAATATTTTTCTCAGTTATGAAACACTGAAAAAAAGTGTTTTTAATATACAACACTAAAAAAAGAAACATAAAACTTATTTGGTGTTTAATTAATTTTAATTATTCGGTGTTTAATTATAAGAGTTTTGATATAACATATTGTTATTATTATTAATGTTGTTATTATTATTATTTTCTAAGGTTATAATTTTACAAATAGAATAATTAGGTATGTAAAAAAGCCTATCAACCTTTTGTTCTATTGTATCTAATTGTGTCGGTCTAATTGTTTATATGCAATTGTAGTTGTTGAACCCAAGATGCATCTAGATGTTTTTTAAATGTCGTGACAGATGTTGAACACTATTTCAGATGGTAGACTATTCTACAAATTTGTGAATTTCATATTAGAAAAGTTTTTTCCGGACGTCTGTCTTACAAAACATTTTTTTAAATTTATAAGCATGATTGCATGTTGTTAAGTTGGAGTTAGTCATAATGGAGGAATAAATATTAACTAAATATATATTCACATATTAACACGCATGCTATTACAACTCAGATTAACTACTTAAAGGTCTGTAATTACAATAATAAATATAATGGTTGTGCAGATGACATCATTCTGACACAGGTGTTGATAGATAAAAAACTGAATGGTATTTAATGAGGAAACAAAAGGGTTGCAAATACAATTATAAAGATTGTGAATGCATTAGTAAGTTTCTGCCATGTCATTACATAAGAAACGATAGCTCATGCTAGTTAAATTTAGTCTCAGTAGTCTTTGGTTGTAAGTAAGTCCAGTCTGGCCAAAAACAAATTTACTAGACTAGCATAGAACATTTTAAATTAATTGTTGATTTTTTTAAAGTCTAGGATAGTAGACAGAGCTGCAAGAATCAAGGTGAGGACGAACAAGGAAAATAAACAAAGTACGAAATGTCAAGATATTGAGATTGAAAAATGATCTTTTGATCATTCCTACAATTTTATTGGTGGTGTTATTCTTAGTACTTAATTACTTAGTACAAAATAAAAGTCAAGTTACTGTCAATTAAGATCCCTTTATTGACGAGAGAGTTTTTAATATTAATTGAAGTATTGAGATTTTTATCAATGAGTATATAAATGAATTATGTATTTGTTAGTTCTAAGGGCATAACTTTACATTTTTTTACATGAAAACTTAGTTTTCATAGTTTAGCCCAGTTTCCTATAATGTCCATACTTTATTACAGGTTATTGCATGGTGAGCTATCAAAAAGCAAACTGTATAACTTAGTATCATCTGTAAATGCAGATACAACATCTAAAACCAAATCAGAAAAATCTTTATTATATATCATAAAAGTAAATAATGGGGGACCCCACTATTTACTATTATCCATTCTGAGTATGTACCACCAACAATGATACTCTAATGCCGATCTCTTAGGTAACATTCAAATCCAATTGTAGAGTTAGTCATCTATTCTATAAGCTTTTAATTTTAGAAGTAGGAGATAGTTGTGAAATGTGTCGAAAGCTTTCAATATATCTGATATAAATTTTTTATATCAGTTTTATTCTCCAAGGCTAATGTCCAACATCAATCCTTACTAAAGTTTATTGCATTTTCAAAGTCGCATTTATATAATTTTTACTATTTTCAGCATTACTTATTGTGTGAATTTTACTTTAATCTTGTTTAACTACTCTTAACATAACGTGATGTAGCAGATCTAGTTTAACTTATTGATTTGTTTATTACCTATAACATTGCATTAAACTATTGCATAAAATAAAATGCTATATAAAATAAAAGACATAAAAAAAACTTTTTTATTGCAAAATTACTCTTGTAATAAATTTGTGTGTGTGTGTGTGTGTGTGTGTGTGTGTGTGTGTGTGTGTGTGTGTGTGTGTGTGTGTGTGTGTGTGAAGGTCAATAATATATATATATATATATATATATATATATATATATATATATATATATATATATATATATATATATATATATATATATATATATATATATATATATATTATTGATGTTATTATGTCTCAAGCAGGGGTACCTTTTTCGTAAATTAAAATCTTATAACAGTTAGAAACAATAATATGACGTATTTATTTCTTAAACAAATATCTTTAACAAAATAAATAGACTATAAAACTTATATTATCTTCTCAAAGTGTTTTCATTTGAGAGTAAATTTACTATTTTAATTTTGATACTTAAGTATAGCAATATTTTTCATATTCTTCTCGTGATGCAATTTGTTTTAAATCAATTACAACCACTTCTTCTAGTAATTCAATCCGTAAATGTTGAATAAAAGAATTTCATTACTCTTACCACTTCTTCTTGTGATACTATCTGCTTTAAAATAAACTACCAACACTTCTTCTCCTGATTCACTCTGTAAATGTTGAATTAAAAATATTTTTCTTACTTCTTCTCTTTTCATAAATTAAAATTTTTATTTTGAACTCTTATTTGTTTTTGTACAAAAATTAATAACATAAGGATGCCTGTTTATGTAAAAAGATGCTATTATTTACATTTAAAGACATTTAACAAAACTAAAGGACATTATGAATATTCCTTAATGTTACGCATGCGTACCAATATGTAAAATTTAATACAAAGCATAACAATATCAGTAAAACGATAATGGGATAATATTGGTGCAATATTTCGCCAATATTGGCATAACAATATCAGTAAAACGATAATGGGATAATATTGGCGCAATATTGGTTAGACAATAATGGCGTAATATTGCTTGACAATATTGACGCAATATCGGATATCCTGGCCAAGATTACCCAATTTAGATTGCCAAAATACCCAATATCGTGCCAATATTATGCCAATATTTTTTGCTACTTGGGTAGTATGTTGTATAAGTTTGATATAAAAACTTTAGGCAGCCATTGATTGAGTCTTTCCTTGGCTGAGTCTTTATCTTCTATTGCTGATAAGTCTCTAGCGACACAAAGTGCAACAACATCCCTATCAGATGAATATTTTATTTCAACTATACTTCTTTTGACTTTTTAGTCACTCAACACTCAAGGAATTTTAAGAAATTTAATTTTGTTATGTTATAACCACTATATCTTTAATTTATTTTACAACAGTTTTGGTTGTTAGGTTGTTTGTCTGGTTGTTAGGTTGTTTGTCTGGTTGTTAGGTTGTTTGTCTGGTTGTTAGGTTGTTTGTCTGGTTTGTCTGGTTGGTTGTTAGGTTGTTTGTCTGGTTTGTCTGGTTGGTTGTTAGGTTGTTTGTCTGTTTCATGTCTGCTTGTGACTTAAATCGTAATATTTTTTAAACTTTTGTTTTTTTAAATGAGCTGAAACTTTTGAGGTGTATTGCATTACAATACATTAATAGTTTAAATTAATGAAAACATTTAAAAAAGCATTAAAGATAAATAAACTAAAATATTGTAAGAATCTGTAAAATACAAAATAAATAAACAAAACACATTGTTTCTAACTCTAATTTGAGATTTGCTAAATAATGCTCAGTCTCCAGCCATAATTTGACCATTCAATTTGATAAACTGATAGGTGATAAAGCTGATAAAGTAATAAAGTTGATAGGTGATGAAGCTGATAGGTGCTTGATGGTCATCTAACTAAAACCTTATTCACATTTAAACTTTGAGAAATAAGCTTGTAGTTATTTACTACTTGGAGTATGTAGATAATAACCGCAAGACAACAATATTCTTTGAAAGTATTTTGAATTTTATTTGAAAGCATTATGAATCTTTCACATACTTTTTTTTATATCTTTTTCACCGTGTCTAACAGAGTTTTTCGGCCAGCTCTTGTTTTTCCAGCACTTGAAATTTTGATATAAGTGAAATAAAAATCACATTTTTGTGATTTCTTGTTAATGATTCAATGCTACTTTTAGTGGTTAATGTTTTTACTTGTAATAACTAATCTTTTTAACTCCAAAGTGAATCATCAAACAATTCTGTGACATTGTAAAGAAAAAAATGAAGTAATATAAAAAAACTATATAAATTTTTTTTATTATAAAAAACTTACTGTTATTTTTGAAATCTTATTTGGCATTCCTTCTCTCTTACTATTAATTTTTATGTTTCTTGCTTTTCTTGCTTTTAGCAATTTCAAAAATATCCGGTCGTGTGTGTGCACAAAAGGGCACTAAAACCAAAAACATTAACTTTCATTTTATAACTTTTAAGAAAATCAGCATCAATTAAAATAACATATTTTTGTAAATTATTGTTTTATTATTTGCATATATATATTTTTATCAAAAAAATAATTAGCAATTTTGATAACTTATTTTTTTTTTGTTTGTATTTTACTGTGGAAACCCAATGTGAGAATGTTGTTTCCCGCAATTTTTTTCTTCTCATAAATGTCTTTAACGTAAATTTAATAAGTCATATAAACATGTTTCATAATAAACAATAATGTTTTATTTCTTCTTTTCCATTGAGAGCTAAAGGTAGAAAATTAAGTTTAATTTAAACAAAAATGTCTTCCAAAGCATTATATTGAAAATAAAGGATTGATTATTATCAATATTTGACTTTACTTTTATTTTTAATAAATGCATTATATTGAATATAAAGTATTGAGTTTTATCTTTGACCTTTTTTTTTAAATAAGTGCGTTATTTGGATCTAGGTGTTTACAATGAAAGTTTTTTGTCAAACAAATATAAAAGGGAGTTATGAGAAAAGATATTCTAGGTTTTTTTTTTTTTTAAAGTAAATTAAATATATTTATTTTATGAATCTGAATGAAAAAAAAAAAATTATTCTATTTATTTAAGTCCTGGTTCAAGAGAGCAGCACAACAGATTAGAAAAGAATAGGTGAGCATTTTTTTTTCAAATAGTGAAGCCTTTTGAAATGATCAGGTTAGCTTTTTTTTATATCTAAACTTATTTTAAATGTATTTTAGGCGAGCCGAAATGAAACAGTTTTTTATAAAGTTGAAACAACATGTTCCATCATTAGAAGGAAAACCCAAAGCTTCTAACGCATCTATTCTGGCAGCAGCAAAATCATATATTGAAGTGAGTATTTATTTTAATATAATTTACCGTAAACTGGGGCAAAATATGAAACAATTTTTTTGAAAACAATTGAAGTCAAAAAATTTTATGCAAAAGATTATACTGGCTGTGTAATAAAATATCGCTAGTAACAAACTTTATCTCTGGAGTCTGCCAAAAAACTTTTTATGCAGTAATATCTTATAATTAACTTTTTATTTTACTTAAATGTAATATCTTATAATTAGCATTTTATTTCACTTAAATGTTTTTTTTTTTTAAAAAAAAAAAGTTTCAAAGAAACTTATAAAATATATTAAGTAAGCATTGTAACATGAAGTACTGGAAAGAGCCTTGGTACCAGTACTTGGAAGAAATTTGAGCTAATCATCTGTCTTTTAAATTTTTGATAGGCATTCTGAGTTACTTTTGTTACAAAAACATTCTGTTACAAAAAATTCAGTGTTTTTATTGCTTAGCTGATTGATGATAATGCTATATTATTTGCAACTAAACACTGACGGGTAATTCCACATCAAATCACCCAAATTTTTCAAGATTTTGAACCACAGGTCTCATATTTTCTTTAAACTTCTTTAGCTGTTGCATTTCATATAGAAAAGTTCACATGCAAAATTTTAGCCAAAAATGTTCAGCCGTTCACAAGATATCAAGGTTTTAATATAGACCTGGTTTCCCAAAATGACCTGGTTTCTGTGTCATTTTAAAAAAACATTTGCTCTAATAAAATGAAAAATAATGAAAATAAAAATATGAAATTTAGCATTTATAATGCTTTTATAATGCAGAATTCAAAAAATGCACTTAGAATGCTGAAATATGAACAGAACATGCTTTAAAATTAAAAACACACCTAATTTATATATTCAAACTTAGGGGCATATATCTCAAAACACCCCCGTCTAAATTTTTTTTTTTTTGCTTTTAATATTTTTAGCTACTTATTATCTTACTAGGCACAAAAAACCTAACTGGAAAAACAACTAAAACATATAGAACCATAGTTTCCAAGATACACCACTTTTATGGGTGCCCATAACTATTTTCTAACGAGGGGGAGGGGTGAGGGAACAACAAAATATTTTTAGTGATGTTCTAATTTAGTTCAATTTACCAAGAATACTTAAAAAAAAGCATATTGCAAAAGACATGGTGAAAACAACTTTTTTTTATTACAGTTAGAGAGGAGGAGAATAGTGTTTCATAACACCTGGCATTGCCATATCTCTGTCATTTAAACCATTTAGCCAATAAAACATATCAAACTACTTTGTATGAACAGTAGTTACTTAGTAGTGATAAGTTGTAGATGAGTTAAAAAATAGAAAGTAGGATTAAATCCACTGAGACATCATTGTTATCTCTTATCAAGCTCCAATTATCCTACAGCCAAAGATTTGGAAATATCTAATACTATATCATTATTTAATATATTTAAAACTAGAGCTTTTTTTTTTACTGAAAACTAAGTAGGAAAGATCTTTTTTTTTTTGTATCCTTCGAATTGCTTTTTTCTTACTGCAAAAGCATTCAATACACTTCATTGCAAACTAATTAAAAAATTAAAAGGGTATGGCTAAAGATAGTACATGTGTAGCAAATTATAGAATTCTGTAAAGAATTAATTTTGGTTAATAGACTTTTTATATATTTAAGGAAGTCTTAATTATATGATAACTTAATTATATGAACTTAACAACTGAAAAAACATCCGGTTTTGTTTATATATAAAAACATTTTATAAAAAATAATTGTTATGTTAATATGATATTTTTTTTAATTTTGACAACTATAGTTTGTAAAAGTTTATTAAAAATTAGTTTATAAAAGTTTAGTTTATAAAAGTTCAGATATAGAACAACATTTATTGGTAAGATTATATTTAAATTTTAAAAAATTAATAATTTAAATAATATAATTATTTAAAAACTTCTTTTTTTACAACATTTATTAATATTAATAATAATAATATTAAGAACAACATTTATTAAAAATTATATTTATTAAAAAACTTTTTTTACATACAATTAAGTAGAAGAATTTTATTTTTATTTTTAGGAAATAATTTCATACTAAATAATTTATCTTATTAAGATGCGTTCTATTGGGTTAATGACATCAGATGCTTGCGAAGGCCAACAAGACGTTATTGAAACTTTAAGCAATGAAGAAAAAATAATTATATCTTTACGCTGTAATATTGAATTATCAAACTTAGAAATATTATGTGAAAGACATAATACAAAATATTTGAAAATGTATCCTATATGGCAGAAAGCTTGTTGTGATCCATTCAATAGACATACAAAGAAAATCACAAGTATGTAGCTGTAAAATTTAAATATTTCATTAATTTATGTTTTTCAAAAAATAAACGAAAGTTTTGAACTAATGTGCAGACATACTTTATACAATTCAATTACTTTTAGAAAATCTTGGCGTAGTTACAATAAAAGAGTCACAAGTCATGATGAGAAATTGTTTGAATATTCCTCCTGGGAAGAAACTTTGCAAACCTTGTAAACAAAAGATTGCCAGAAAAAAAGAACTTACAGAAGAGGAGCAAAGTAAGAGTGAACAAGATGAGGATTTTCTAATATCACCATGCAAAAAAATAAGACAGGAGATCAATAAAGAACTCAAAAATTTTAGTTTATCTCCTCTAAAATCTCATTCAAAATCATTAAAACATATACTGTCAGAAGGAAAGCAAAAAGTTGCATGCATCAACGAAATGGCGTATAACGCTACTAGAAAAATTGAAACTCAATTTTCCTCAAAACTATGTTATGAAACCAATGGGATGAAAAAGAAGGCTGCAAACTTTGATGAAATTATGAGCTTGGTAAAAGAAAAAATTCTATGTTCTGACAAACGAACTATTATTCAACTTCTAACACTGGCACCCCCAAGTTGGTCAATATTAGAAGTACAAAATAACTTTTCGGTTACAGAATACCAGGCCAAGATGGCTAGAAAAACTTTTAATAAAAAGGGATTGTTAGGTATCTCTCAATTGTATAAGGGTAAAGTCTTACATAAAGAAATAGAAGATTCAGTTAAATTGTTTTATGACTCAAGTGATTTATGTCGAACTATGCCTGGAAAAAAAGATTATGTCAGCATTCAAAAGAACGTCCATAAACAAAAAAAACTGCTTTTGTGTAATTTAAAGGAACTATATGTATTATACAAAGAAAACAATCCAGAAATACAAATAAGTTACTCAAAATTTGCTTCACTTAGACCAAAGTGGTGCATTTTGCGAGGTGCAAGTGGTACACATTCTGTTTGTGTTTGTTCTTATCACCAAAATGCCATTTTGCTAGTGGATGCCTTAAATATTGAACTAACGTATAAGGATTTACTTTTGAAAACTGTTTGCTCAGTAGAAAACAAAGAATGCATGCTTGCACAGTGTGATAATTGTCCTGGTAAAGAACTGCTCACCATGTATTTGTATGAGATTTTTGGAGAATACGAAGATGATTTTGAGATACACTACAAACAATGGCAAACTACTGATCGTGCAACACTATTGAGTTTAACAACAGATGTTCCAACGTTTATTGAACTATTGGTATCTTGTTTTGAAAAGCTACAATCTCATTCTTATATTGCCAAATCTCAATCACAATACCTTAATCAACTAAAAGAAAATATGGATAATTCAAACATTATCATTCTTGGCGACTTTGCTGAAAATTATGCTTTTGTAGTCCAAGATGAAATACAGAGCTATCACTGGAACACCCAACAATGTTCTTTACATCCATTAGTGATATACTATAAAGAAGAAAATGGTGTAGTGAAACATATTTCTTACTGTTTTATATCAGACGACATTACACACGATGTAACTTATGTATACAAGATATTTCAACTAATTATACCAATATTAAAAACAAAATTTCTTGATTTATCCAAATTGCATTTATTCACTGATGGTTGTGCAGGACAGTACAAAAATTGTAAAAGCTTTTACAATCTATGCCAACTAGAGACAGAATTTTCCCTCAAAATTGAATGGAACTTTTTTGCCACGTCCCACGGAAAGTCACCATGCGATGGAATTGGTGGTAATGTAAAAAGGTTAACAGCACAAGAAAGTTTAAAACGACCATACAGAAACCAAATTCTCACATCAGAGGCTATGTATGAATTTTGTGTTGAGAAAATTAAGGCTGTTAACTTCATTTACATAAAGGGATTGGACTTACAATTGCAACGAGAAAAGCAAAAAGAAAGGTACACTGATGTAACAACTCTACCAGGTACTCGTAGCTTTCATCAATTTATACATCTTGGAGATAATAGGGTTGGGGCGAAGAGGTGTAGTACAGACACTAAATATACAATAATTCACAATCTTAAAAAGAAACATATATTTGAACCTGATACTGTCACTTTAGGAGGTTATGTTGCGGTAGTTTATGATGATAAGTGGTGGATCGGCATTGTTACTGAAATCAACCTAGAAGAAGTTGATGCTGAAGTTAAGTTTCTCCACCCAAGAGGTCCATCAATCTATTTTAACTGGCCTGAAAGAGACGATCACTGTTTTATTCCTAACATCAATATATTGAAAAAACTATCTGTTCCACAAGCTTGCTCTAGTTCTGGTAGAAACTATGTGTTTGAAAATGTTGAAATAGAAGAAGTGCAAGTAAAATGGCAACAATATTGTGAACTATTACAAATACAGTCAAAATAACTTGCACATTCGATACCTTTAAAAATCTTGTATATTTAAGTAACTTTGTAAATTAGGAATAATTTATTTTAATTGAATTTATAAAAATTTTTTAGGAATTTCTTAAAAAAGTTATACATCTTTAAAATTAAAGTTCTATATGTTTCAGTTTTTTTTCCAGTTAGATTTTTTGTGCCTAGTAAGATTATAACTAGCTTAAAATATTGAAAGCAAAAAAAAAAAAAATTTGACGGGGGTGTTTTGAGATATTGGGCCCTAAAGTTAGATTATATAAACTAGTTGATTTATTAATTTTTAAGGATGTTCCTCTAACATTTCAGCATTTTAAGTACATTTATTGAATTCAGCATTAAAAAACCATTATAAATGTATATTTTTATATTTTTGCCATTTTTATTTCTTATTTTATTGAGGAAAACAACTTTTCAGAATGTTATGAAAACCGGGTCATTTTGAGAAACCAGGTCCAAATTAAATTTGCTGTATCTTGTCAACCGCTTGACATTTTTAGCTGAAATTTTGCATGCAATATTTTTTTATAAATAGAAATCGTGTGTCAAAATATAAAACAAAAAGAAGACACATGGTTCAATGGAGTGGGTGATTTGATGTGGAATTACCCTGACTGTATTCTTTGCATTGTTTAAAAAGGCAATTTTCAAATGGTTATATCTCTTGACTAGTTTACAATAGATAATTAATATCGATCATATCATCTCTTAATCTATGTTACTAATTATAGTTTTTTAAGTACTTTGTACAAACATATTTTTTATCTTCTAATTTTTTATAGTTACAGCACATACTTCATACACATACACATACACATTTACCAATACTTCCTTGAGCCTAGATCTTACCTGGTTATCAATCTTGTTTACATACACTAGCTCATCTTTATAGGTCTGTTTTGCATTGATAAACCACATTGTTTGCAGCTTAATATTTCATTTTTATTTTTTCCATTAATTTTTAATCTCACTTACTGGTAGGTGTTTATTTATTTTTTTAAATTATTATAAACTAACAAATTTTCATTTTACTGAATTTTAAACATTTGCTTCTCTGATTTTTGAGCAATTTTTAATAAATTTAGACATATTATTATCTGATAGGCATTTTATTTCATTTTAGTAAACCTTCATTTTTTATTTACTTACAATTTATTTAGAATACATAGATCTGAATTTGTGAAAATTATTTCTCTGATTTTCAAACAACTTTTATATATTTTAAGTCACCCTGTTTGATTTTTGTTGTTTTTTTTGTTGTTGTTTTTTTTGTTTTGTTAGATTTAATATTCCCTTAAAAAAACCAACAAATTTTGATTTGCTTTTTGATTTGATTTCATTGTGTGTGTTTTTTTTTGCTTCATAGTTTATTAAGATTTGCTATCTACTTCTATTTACAATGAATTGATCTGAATTTCCAGACAAATAAGGTTTTAGTTGCATAATTTAGATTAGTTTATTTAGTTGCATAATTTAGATTAATTTATTCATAATTAGTTAATAAGTAATTAAGGTTGTTATGAAAAATTTTTGCCAAGCCAGTTAAAATATTATCTAAACTAAGTTGCTGGTTTTGAGGAAAGGCACCATGAACTTTATAAACTTAGGTTGTTTTTTAAACCAAAAAATATTTGTAAAATTTTGCGTCATATATTTAACTATATTTATTGATTTGTTTTTTAAAAATTCAAAACAATTTTTTTTTTTTTTTACTTTTTTTCAAAAAAAAAAAAGTTTTATAAACAGATGCATGCATTGATACTAGATTTATGTATAGATAACTTTTTTATTATGTTAGACATTACTTTTTTTAATTTTTATGAGTTAATTAAACTTAAAAGCTTAAACAATAAATAACAAAAGCAACAGTTCAACACTGTGTTAAATTTTTGCTTTGTTAAGTTTAGTATTTTGCAATATAAGCAAATGTTAAATGTGATAAAATAATGTTATAAAATTATTGCAATAGTATGCCTCTGATTCTTCCGTTGACTAGAAAGCAAGGTTGCTTGTCTTGCATGATTGGTCCGCATAAAGTCCAGAATAAAAGGTATAAACTCCAATAATTTTTATTAGAGATAGACCTTTATTTGTTTTTTTTCTGTAAATAAAAATATTGGTTGCCATATCTTTTCTTGAGTAATAAAATTAAATAAGAATAACTGATTTACCTCAATAAAAAAATCTTTAAAACAAAAAGAACAAATAAAAAAAATAAGTAGTTAGCAGAATGTAGCAGAAATAGGTGTTGCTTATAGATAAAAAATTTATAGTTTGAGTTTTGTTTTTTGGGTTAGCAAAAAATTAACCCAAAATTTAAAAAAGCTTAGTTCTTGAAAGAAATAAAGTTATATAAAAATTTTAAAAGTTTAGTTGTTATTACAAGTATTTTTAGTTTTATGCAAATCATTTTATATAAAAATAGTATTTTTTATAATAAAATCTAAAGCAAAGCTTAGTATATGAAGCTGAATTAAATATAATAGAATTTTATGTACGTGCAAATAAAGTAGTATGATGATTAATGTAACCATGGGTGCTGGCATTTTTTTGATTTTTCATATAGGACACTTTCACACATTGTGCAAACTCCAAACTTCAGCATAAATTACCTTGCATAAAATTGGGGCGGTGGAGGCCTGCGAACAAAAAAAGCCCTAAAACGCTTTTTCTCGTCTGCCCAAATGTAAATGTGAGGGCATTAATGTAGCAAAATTTTCAACTTTACTATCGAAAACTAAAATTCAATTTACTGACATTTTAAATTTCATAAAAAAATATTTTAATTTACAAAAGTTATGATCAAATTTTCCTTGAAAATGAGGGAGATGTAAACTTTGGATTATCATAACTTTTGTAATTTACAATACTTTTCTACAAAATTTAAAATCTGTCGATAAATTTAAATTTAGTTTAAGATAGTAAAGTTAAAATTTTTACTACATTACTACCCTCACATTTGGGCAGGGGCAAGCAAGTACTTTAGAGTTTTTTTGTTCCCAGGCCTCCACCATCCCAAGTTTTTGCAAGGCCTCCTCATTTCGCATAGGTGTAACATACTTAAGTTTGACGTTTGCACAATGTGTGTAAGTGTCATATCTGAAGCATCAAAAAAAATTGCCTATGCCCTTGGATATAACCATGGAAGTATGAACCAGATGGAAGTTTAAATTGCATTGAAATGCTTCGGGACTATGCTTGTAACCTTTTGTTTCATAAACAAAAAGAAAACGACATAAAGACTGCACTTAAACGCCTAATCTTTATACGTTGACGCAAATAGGTACGTTCATAATTTAAAAATAGTATTTTGACAGTTCGCCAATAATGTTAAAGTATAAACATTATAAATGGCGATTAAAAAACGACAAATAACAACTTTTTTTTAAACTTAATATGAAATGAATGGAGTATTACAAGCATGAATGGAATTATAATGTAGAACTAATGAAACTTTAGTCTTAAGTAATTTAGAAAACATTTTTTTTGATTTTTTAAAAATTGTTTTAACTGTCTTTTTAATCAAATGGTGTGTTATGATTTGAAACAAGAAAAGAAGCTTAAACTAACATGCTTTTAAAATAAAGTTGTTTTATTTAATTACCGAGTTTTAATAAACATTTTGCTGAACAAAAGTAACTAATGGTTAAAACTTAATAGCGTACCTTTAAGTAATTTTTTTTAATGTTTTGATAAAAATTATTTCAGTCAATTTTTGTTGTTTTTTGCCGGTTGAAACTCGTACTTATCTAATATATAATTAATGCACATAATTATGTATGTTAATAAGAAACGAGTACCTATCTTACTGTTTCATAAGAGTAACATTTATGATTCATAATAATTTAAATATTAAGATGCAATTAGAAAAAATTTATGATAAAATATAATGAGAGGGTAAAGCGTAACTTTTGCATTACCTGTTTTAGAAATTAGTGCATAATTTTTGTTTTTTAATTTCCTTTTTCAATTCTGGAAAGTCATTGGTAATTAGATTAAAGTATGGGAAAAAAGTTTGCTAAAAGTCTTATAAACTGCTGTCATACTTATTTAACAATAATTAATTATTATTGTTAGGAGCGTTTGTTCAAAAAATTAATAATTTTAGAAAAAGATAGGGCTCTGATTAGATTGTGTCACTGTATGCTGATAGTTATACATCGGAAGATTTGATTTGATGTCCACTCCTGCTTATGTAGCCAGAAACAGATCATGCGAGTTTGTTGATAATGTTCAAACATTGGAACTAATTCGAGATTACTTTTTTTTAAATAAGCTTTAGGGGTGTTGTGACTCAACTTTCTACTACTGCTATAAAGTTTATAAGTTTTTCATGTCTTTCTATATCATCATTACGACTCGTTTTTTGAGTATAAATATATCTTTTCCAGATAACAGAAACAGTAAAACAAAATGATGAACATTTCACAAAACGTTTTTTTGAATCGATAAATATTGGTTCGAATAAACACAACAACGAAATCTGTTGGTATGATTGCTTTTGTTATTAGCGACTACATTGTTTGTAACCGCTATCATACGGATCATCGTTCATGCATGTTACTGAGCGATGTTATAGTTTTGGTGAGTAGTTCATAAAAGCTCCAGTTTACGGTTCTAAGTATTATATATTTTTTCCTTTTTTTGGTTTAAAGTACTTGAAATGTTTTTATTTTGGTTTAAAGTACTTGAAATGTTTTTATTTTGTAATTCTTGTGCAATAGTAAGTACTTTTTTTAAAAATAATTTGTTGGTAATTGTGGCGGGTGGCAAGTATTATAAATTAAATTAATCCAACCCCCTTCCCTCCTTCCTCTTTTTTTTTTTTTTTTTTTTTTTTCTATTTTAGGTCATTGGCACTGTTATTTCTATTGTTTTAAATTAAAATTTTAAAGTTTTATCGAATATTATTTTTTTGAGTTGGTTCAAATTAGGCCAAAAAGACACATGAAATATATTTTCGGGTGTTATTTGTTTTTTGGATTGTTATTTACTGTGTTAAACATTTTTTAATGTTTGCCATAGGGTATTAGTTATTTTTGTTTATCTTCACAGGAGTTGAAAAAACTTGATAAACGTTATGAAGTTGAACGCTATCGTCTTCATCGATGCCGCGTATGCCTTGAAGAGCAAGTTAAAATGCTCAAAGAAGACATTCGCCGACAAAGTTTACAGAATGAACTATTTTCTCAAGTCCAACAAGAAAAAAAATGCCTAAAAAATCCAAAAGAAATGACATCTGTTGAAACCCAAGCAAATGAAGCTGATATTCTTGCGGAACTACCTGTAGACTCGTTTAGCTGTACCGGTTCTAGTGCGTCTGACACTGCTGCTATTGCCGAACCTGGCGGACTGCAGAAACAATCAATTGAAACTTTTATAATTTCAGATTCTTCTTTCTCAAAAAATATAGAAGAAGATATAGCAGTGGAATATGAAACTCATATGACAAAAGAAAATGAATCATTTTCACTTGATAACATAATTTTACCGAGGTACTCTGAACCGCTGGACCATCTCAGTACAAATATACAATATGCTAGTAGTTCCGATAGTGACTTTTCAAGTAAATCTTTTTATTTTGAGTTTCAACATCGTAGTGATGACGAAGAACCTGATTTAGAAATTGAGCTATAATATACATAGAATGACGTTTTCCAGATAGTGATTCAATTTTCTATATAATACGTATTCTACTTCTCTACTTACGCTTATAGTCGCACTTTCGAGTATCTCTGATTTATCACTATCAAATTCACTATTAACTTTTTAATATCGTTAAAATTTTTAACGGTTAAATGATTTTCGTTGCACCTTTAATTGATGTTAATCTTTAATTATCGCTGCTTAAGTTTCTATATCAATATTTTTTGGTGATTTCTTATGATTTTCTTTCTATTGTGTTTTCTTTTCTTAGTGTTACTTATATAAATTTTCTCAAACAATACTTTATAAGAATCATATTGATTTTGTTAAATATTATACAATAGTATACAGTTAGTACCTTTATGACCTCAAAGAGATCTATGTAAAGTTGGCGTTATAACAATTATTTTTTTATTTAAGTGTTTATTTTCTTTTTGAAAAATCTTAATTTAATTGGAGTTTTGAAAAAATCAATTTGTTTAAATAATAAGACAATAATTAAAAACTTAATAATTAATAAAAATAAATTATTAATCACTAATAATATATATTAATTAATGGCATATTTATCCACAAATGGTTTTGGCTGCTAATACTTTTATATGCAGCATAAGGTGGCAAAATTGAATATTAGCACCACAACGAAAAAGTTAAAACTTTTTTTCTTCTCTGGAGAAAGACAAGACCCAGTCGGCATGTGGTCTTAAAAAACGTCTTTTAAACGTTCAAAAGACGTTCAGAACGTCTTTTTAAGACCAAATGCCGGCTGAGGAATAATACTGTAAAATTTTGTTACTTTGAATAAGTGAGGTAACTTTGAGCAAATATTTTTAGTTAAATAGAATATTTTCAAAGATTATCTGATAAATAACTTTTAACTAATCTCATTTTATGTATTTGGTATTTTAAAGGCGTTTATTTATTTAACAAAACTAACAAAAAAAAAAAGTTCATATATTCATAAATATTAGTTCAAACTTACACTCATTTGATGTAACTCTGTTATACAGTGGTTTATACTTTACTAAATAAAAGCAAAAATAAACTAATTCGGTTTCTTAAAAATTTAAAATGAATTAAATTTAGTTTAAGAAAAAATCCAATTGCAAAAAAACACTCTATATCTTTTATAAGACCATTGCAAAAGAACATTGCATATCCTTTATAACACCATCTGGTAACAATTGTGGTGCCAATCCCAAAATCTTAAAAGAAATTTAAAATGTTTGCAAATTATTTAAATACTTTAGTGGAACTTAAAAGGCGACGTCAATCGTAAATAATGCGCAAAAATATACAAATATATGAATAAACTAATTATATTTTTACTTGGGGTGCACCGATGCCTATTTTTGGTCAATGCATCGGTCCTAAAAATGAATATATGAAGGAAATTGAATGGAAATATCTCATTCCACTCATGTGACAATGAAAGCAATATTTTGATATTGTTACTGTTGAAGTTTATTTATTTATTGTTCTCTTGACAATCAGAGCAATTACTTCAATTAAAAAGCTCGTTTTATATTTACTTTCGTCATTCTGTTCGAATTAAGACGATTTTGTTTTTTCTAAAGAATGAATGGATGATTTTGATGTCGTTACTTCTAATAATTAGCAAATTTTTAGCAAATGTTTTTATGAAATTAAATTATAAAGCAATACTTATATTAAATGTTTATTTATTAAACGCTTTTAGTTTAATATAATATATACTTTTTATTATTTAATTTTAATATAAATGTAATGGAACATTTTGATTGTAAAGAATAACAGAAAGAGTTTCAAAAAAACTTTGTTTAATGCAATTTTCTCTTAACTTGCAAATTAATGCAATTTACTATGTACTTTGTATATTAAGGAAAAAGTTTATGAATCGACGCGGTCTCGATTAACTGCAAAACATTAAGGACAACTTGCTTTTGTGCATGCGAATTGGAAATTTTTCGGAGAAATGGAAACAAAAAAATAGATTTACAGTTTTATATAACATTTTAATTACTTTTCATAACATAAAAATTTATATTTTTAACATGACGCAAGTTGTTCTATTATATTTCAAATGTTATACTTTATGTTTATATTTTTAAAATGTGCTTTTCTTGATTTTAAACTTCTTTGTAATGTTTGGTATCTATAAGTTATATAATTAATGTACTAAATTATAAGAAAACACTAAAAAAGTAGGGAGCCCTGTTAAAAGCAGTTCAAGTTTTTAGTTTGTGGTTGCATAATAACTTATTGCCTATATAATAACTTATTATTAATAAGTTAGGCTTATACATTGAATTTATGTTTATGGCGTAATTCTATGTTTGGATATAATATAGAAAAACAGAAATAAAAATAAAATTAAAAAAGTTTTTAAAACAATCGGCATCGGCCAATGCTGATGCATCGGTGAACCTTAATTTTTACCACTTTAAACTTTTTTACATCAAAAAGTGTTAAAAAATATTTATCAAAAGTTTTTACATAAGCACAACTTAGTGAAACTCTTAAATTAAATTTAATAACTTAAGAGATGAAAACGTAACATTGGATAATAAACTGAGATGCTCACTGAATTTTAGGTGCTTTTCTAAAAATTGCCGTCAGTCGGTTATTAGTTTCAACAATAAAAATATTTTCGTAAAATATCTGGTCTGCAAGATAAACGATCAGAGAAAACACTAAAGATCATACTGTGAATTGCAAACAATCTTTTAAATTTATATTTTAAAATGTAATATGCTTATCAAAATGTTATATGTTTTTTATGTTATTTTATTGAGTATAATATAATTGCGATATATTATGGAATCCAAACTTAAGCTTTAATTTCCAGATCTTTGTAATATCAAGTTATGACTTAAAGATCTTTAAATTTTCAAATGCTTTTTTTAAAATGTAGAATTGCTCGGTGCTGATTATTGCAAAGATAAATAAAAGAATCAAGGAAATAAAAGATAAAGAGCTACAACTGCTAATTATATATAACATCGGTAAGGAAGGAGGCGTGATTTTTCTTTTAAATGCTCTTCCGCAGTACTTCTTGGAGCACCAAAAATAAGCATAAAAAAAGGTGCAACTGCCAGCATATAATTTTTTTTTTTTTGCTTTTACTTATTAAGTGGAGATCATTGTAACTTTGAGTAAAAGAAACATATTTTTATGGAAATTTATGGGTTTAGACACTTTTTAAAAGTTTGACCTCTTTTAATCTATAATCATGTCAAAACTGAGGACGTTTTTTTAACTTTAAAATAATTTGAAGCAAATTGATTGAGCAAAAGCTCAAAAAAGTTCAAAAAGAGACTCAGTAAAAGTCTTAAATTTTGAATAAAGAAACAGAAAAAAACTTTATGAAATTAAAACACAAGCAAAATTAGTTTTGTTAAACAAAAATTAATTTTCATTTATTTCATATCACTTCAAACCTAAGTTATAAATTGTCAAAGATAAATAGTATCGATTTAAGATTTACCAGTTCACCGTAACTACACGGAGTAATTAAAGCTGTCGTAAAAATTGTAATTATACTAAGTTAAATGTAAGAGTGTTCAGTGACGTCAAGTGGTTTGTAATCAAAGTGCGTTTATATTTGATAATTGTTGTAAAAATGTTTGTACGGTTTTATATGTAATTGCTAATATGTTTATATGGTTAATGTGAAATTGTAAATATGTTTATGTGGGTTGTAATGGTAATATTTGAGGTATATGATTTAGTATAAATTGTGATTATAATTTTGTAAGAGACAGGTTCTCATTGAGTAAAGAAAAGAAAACATCAGACGACAAAGTATGTTGAAAAAGAGTTCATGTTAAGTGAGCTCCAATCACTACTTTGTTGGCGTACTTTACTTAGGCTAAGCCTAACTAACAGTATGTATTGCACTCTCTAATATCGTGTGCAATCCTGTCCGCTTACTCTATGCTTTCGTTCTAACTCGACTACTTCTATCTTTCACTCTAACATATCTTCGTTCTTCATAAACTCACCTTACTCTCAGTCCGTAGAGCAGGTATGACGCTCCCTCGGGAGCTCAACCAGTCTTTGCGGACTTCTGGTAAAGTGACCTCTATATGGCAATTAGCCGGAGGAGGTTAAACCACAATACCAGAAAACATCTTGAAATAATGTTACATTTATGCGAGAAAACTTCATAAATAAGCAAAAATTATGATTATATATTATATATATTCGAAAAAGATAAAAAAAGAAAAAACAGATCAATCTGTTGCTCGATAACCAATACTTTAAAAGAGTATTTGTACATTAATGATGATTTCAGTAATTAAACGATGGATTTAAGAAAAAACTTTTAAAATACGCAAAAGTTTTTTCAAGAGTAGAGAACTTGAAGTATCTAAAGTAACTTAAACAAATTATTCATGAGCTACTTATAAAAAAAAATTCTTTTATAATGCAAATTATAAAAGAATTCATCTGATGCAAATTATAAAGGAATCATCTGACCATGAGACCGGGGTAGGATGGCTTACAATATGAGTTTTGTCTTCAACCTTAATAGTTTTTAGAAACTACCACTTTTTTTCTAAACATTTGTTATTCCAGAGTTATATCGGTCAAACATTTGGGCTTTTTTTTGGCTTTGAATCACTATTTAGATAATGTTATATTTAAATCTGTTCAAAAAAAAAAAGATTAGCAATTAATTTTCAGATTATGTGAACAGAAAAAAAGTCCAGTTAACTCATTAAATATCTTAAAATCAGAATAGGCTCTAATTTAGCTTTTGAACCGCATCTTCAAGACTTATCATTGAAATTAGACAGGTTGAACGGCAACTTAGCTAAAATCCATTATTATCCCAGTGGGCACGGACGTAAAAAAGACGTCTTTTAAATGTCTAATACACGTTTCGGACGTCTTTTGAACGTTCAAAAGACGTCTTTTTTTGGTCCGGTGCCCACTGGGATGTTAATCATGAAACTTTGCTTAATATATATCATTCAATTTTTCATTTTCATCTCAAATATTCTTGTCAAGTTTAGGGACATTCTAAGCACTCTACCTTTTTAAGAGAGTCATCTGCCTAATATAACTCTAAAATTAATTTATTTTCAACATACTAATTCACACTGTAGCATACCCTACTTTTTATCTAAAGTCCTTAAATTGTGTGATCTTATGCAGCTATCAAGTTGCATTTTGCACTTCTTTCATTTAACAATCTTTTTAGTGATAAGAAAAATTGTAAATATATTCAACAATCTGCTTTCAACTTTAAGTTATCTGTACTTAAATATCAAACTGCTCATTACGGCTATTAATCCATTCAACATAAAAGGATACAAACCTGGAATAATCTTCCTTCCCATCTAAAATCTACTACATCATTCTCAAAGTTTAGAATTGCTCTCTTTAACCATTTTTTAGAAAATTATTGTTTATAAATCTTATACCTTTTTAC